CTATCGTCCCCCACTCTACCGTCCACACGCTAGCGTCCCCACTCTACCGTCCCCCACTCTACCGTCCCCCACTCTATCGTCCCCCACTCTACCGTCCCCACTCCCCAGAAACAGGGGGTTAATATGGGAGGTAAGGGGTGGGGGGGGTTTATCCCTTGTGGGGCTTCAACGCTGTGTGGCTACACGCACGCCAGCTGTGTGGCTACACGCACGCCACATGCCAGCTGTGTGGCTACACGCACGCCAGCTGTGTGGCTACACGCACGCCCCACGCCAGCTGTGTGGCTACACGCACGCCACATGCCAGCTGTGTGGCTACACGCACACCACATGCCAGCTGTGTGGCTACACGCCAGCTGTGTGGCTACACGCACGCCACACGTCACGTGGCTACACGCAAGCCACATGCCCCGTGGCTACACGTATGCCACAAACAGTTCACAGTAGCCACACACCGCCACACACCGCGTGCATCACGCACCTCCCCTCACGCCCGTCACGGGTGCACTGACCTCGCCTCCCCCGCGGCCCTCTTATATATGTGCACATGGCGGGGGTGGGGGGGGGTGTGCCGTGGTGTGGGAGGTATCCAGGATACGGACCGGTTATCTAACGGCACCTGTCGTGCTCACGGCACAACAGGTGTTCCAAATAACAACCGATCTTTATTATTACGACACTTTTATTTAACTTCTCTTCTTGTTTGTTTGTCTGCTACAAATCTTATAATTGATATTTAAGACACTTTTATTTAACACACTTCTACCAGTCCAATCAATCTGAAATTTTGCACGCTTACGCTAAGTCGACGACAATGCATGAATCAATTGACAGAAAAAAGTAATTTTAGAAGTTGAAAAAATTTATTACTAAAAGGAAGTTTGAAAAGTATAGTATTTTATTTAATATTTAGAAATAAAATTAGAAATTCACTCTACATGTGTAACATCGGAGACACTTGATTCTTTGGAAGTGTTGTACTTAAAAAATAATTCTTATTACATTATTATACCTATTATGCATATAGGTTATATTATACCTTTACTGAGGTGTAATCTTTCAGTGGTGTTACAAATTGTTCCAGTCATAATTATTTCTAAATTTATAACTATTTCATTTTTTACCTGTAAGTTAATAAATACAATACAGGTACAATAAATGGCGATTGAGATCCTGAATTCAATAAGAAATGAGAGACTTTCTTATTATTGGCCACTTTTAAGAAAACCAAGTTAATTAGCGAATTATCTAAAGACTAATTGAATTAATTATCAAATTGATTAGCATATTATTTGAGTCAATTTTGACCCCCCGACCATGATTTGTGTCCCCTCTTGTCCCCACCACCATGATTGTGTCCCCTCTTGTCCCCACGACCATGATTGTTTCCCCTCTTGTCCCCACGACCATGATTGTGTCCCCTCTTGTCCCACGACCATGATTGTGTCCCCTCTTGTCCCCCGACCTTAATTGTGTCCCCTCTTGTCCCCACCACCATGATTGTGTCCCCTCTTGTCCCCACGACCATTATTGTGTCCCCTCTTGTCCCCACGACCATGTTTTTGTCCCTTCTTGTCCCCACGACCATTATTGCTGTCTCTTATACACATCTAGATGTGTATAAGAGACAGCCTCTTTTCCCCACGACCATGATTGTGTCCCCTCTTGTCCCCACGACCATGATTGTGTCCCCTCTTGTCCCCCCCACGACCATGATTGTGTCCCCTCTTGTCCCCACCACCATGATTGTGTCCCCACCACCATGATTGTGTCCCCTCTTGTCCCCACGATCATGATTGTGTCCCCTCTTGTCCCCACCACCATGATTGTGTCCCCACCACCATGATTGTGTCCCCTCTTGTCCCCACCACCATGATTGTGTCCCCACGACCATGATTGTGTCCCCTCTTGTCCCCACGACCATGATTGTTTCCCCTCTTGTCCCCACGACCATGATTGTGTCCCCTCTTGTCCCACGACCATGATTGTGTCCCCTCTTGTCCCCCGACCTTAATTGTGTCCCCTCTTGTCCCCACCACCATGATTGTGTCCCCTCTTGTCCCCACGACCATTAAATTGTGTCCCCACGACCATGATTGTGTCTCCTCTTGTCCCCACGACCATGATTGTGTCCCCTCTTGTCCCCACGACCATGATTGTGTCCCCTCTTGCCCCCATGACCATGATTGTGTCCCCTCTTGTCCCCACCACCATGATTGTGTCCCCTCTTGTCCTCAGCTGGACGCCATCTTGAGGGACCTGCCCTCGTCAGACAGCGATGCTACGCTCCCCCACACGGAGGACGAGGGGGACGAGGTCGACCTGCCCCCCCACAGGGTGAGGAAACACTCAGAAAATTAACGAGTCATAATATCCAACGAGTGACACACTTCCTTATCAGTAATACGATCAGCTAGAAAACGCGGACGCTCCAGTTAAAATTTTAGGTCGTTTCTCCCGCGACTGGGCCGCCTCGATTAGTCGCATCGCCCTATAGTAGTAGTCCGGCTTACGCTGATGAATCACAGTGAATTAAAACGATTAAAAACCTGCTAGAATCTCAAAATAGTTCATATGACCATGCCTGGCCTTCTTATTGCTTTTGGTTATCAAATTATACAATTTCATGATAAAAATATAAAATTGTTGTGCAACTTTCAGACAAATTCGTTCCCGGTGCACGGTACTGAGCGCCTATTGGATAGCGGTAAAGCCACGCCCACCGCTCCCGATGCTCCTAATGGTCATGTTGCTACACCCATTGGAGGGATCTCATCACCCGCTTCTATTGGCTCTAGGAAGTCTTCTCTGATTGGTGTTCCCAAGAGCTCACCTGTTATTGGCTCGAAACAGTCATCTGCCATTGGTGCACCTTCAAGCTCGCCTGTTATTGGTTCTGCCGCTGTGGTTGAACCCGGCAAAGTCATCTCGACTTCGTCATTGGCCAGCGTGAAGTTTGCGCCCCTCCCCGCCGAGCTGCACAGAACCCTGCGCTTCAAGAAGGGCGCCCAACCGTTGGGTGAGGGCCTGACTAATGTCCTGTGTGCCACGCCCCTTCCCACATTTTCGCTTTTCTCCTCCAACATCGCCTCATACACTCCGCCTCCCTCACCAGTCTCCTCCCACACTCCGCCCCTTTTACCTGTCTCCTCCCACACTCCGCCCCTTTGACCTGTCTCCTCCCACACTCCGCCCCTTTCACCTGTCTCCTCCCACACTCCGCCCCTCTGACCTGTCTCCTCCCACACTCCGCCCCTTTGACCTGTCTCCTCCCACACTCCGCCCCTTTGACCTGTCTCCTCCCACACTCCGCCCCCTTGACCTGTCTCCTCCCACACTCCGCCCCCTCTCACATGTCTCCTCCCACACTCCGCCCCTTTTACACGTCTCCTCCGACGCTCCGCCCCTTTCACCTGTCTCCTCCCAAACTCCGCCCCTTTCACCTGTCTCCTCCCACACTCCGCCCCTTTCACCTGTCTCCTTCCACAATCCGCCCCTTTCACCTGTCTCCTCCCACACTCCGCCCCTTTTACCTGACTCCTCCCACACCCTGCCCCCTCCACCTGTCTCACAAGTTTATGTTGAATTTATTCCGATGTTCATCCGACTTCCACGGCGAATGTACCCCCAGGCGTGGACTTGGACGTGTCGGGAGGTTGGGCCATCATCACGGGGGTTGTGCCCGGAGGAGCGGTGGACAAACTCAACCGCGAGCGCCCCACCTGCTCCGACTCCATGCGGGGGGTGGGGGGCCTGGATGGCCTCGCCAGCGCCGTGCTGGGGCCCGAGGACCCCAATGTCGTCATGACGGCCGCGGGGTCCCGCATACAGGTGGGGAGGGGTGATTAAATGAAGGGAATGGGGTTGCAGGAGAATTGGTCCGCTTTTCTGCCATTCAGACTTAAAATTTTATGTCGTTTCAGTTGCGTAAGTCTGAAGTTGAACGATTTCGTTTTTTTCTGAAAAATTTTAGTTTGTCTGTTGAAAACTCGCAAGTTTGAAGTAATGTCGGTCTGGCAGGAATAGCATTGCCAGTAACTTTTACCCATACTCCCCCACATCCTCTCCCTCATGCTTACTCCCCTACCTATACTCCCCTACATCTTCAACCCCACATCTCCCCCAGGACAACCTCATTAAGGTGGGGGATGTGCTCATCTCCATCAACGGGGAGCCAGTGGGGGGTCTGGACGAAGCGGGGGTGCGGGAGGTCCTCACCCACGTAGGAGTGGGGGAGGTGAGCCTCGTGTTCGTCCCCCGCGAGGACGCGGAAGTCTTCCACCACACCCACCAGCTGCTGGGGGAACATCAGCGCCAGATCAAGTGAGGGAGTGGGGGTACAGGTGAAGGGTGGATGTTGGGGGTGTTAGGTTTGTGTGACCGGTATAACACCTCCTATAATTTGGAAGAGATCATTCATATTATATATAATATAAAAGAGCATATAAGAGAGCATGCATATTATATGTAATATAAAAGAGCATATAAGGGAGCATGCATAATATATATAATATATAAGATCATATAAGAGAGCATGCAGTCTTTGCATATTTTCGTATCGATTTAAAACGCACGTACCAAAGGGTCACGCTTTAGTCAGGCTGTAGATTCCCTTGCGTTGAGCGTCAGAGGAAATGAATAGGACGATAACTTTCGTAGTATACTGTATATATACGTATGGTATTTTCAATTAGTGTATAGGCAACATCATACAAGGCAACCCGAATCCTTTAATCGAGGTAGATAATTATTGTTTTTCATTAACCATCAAAGATTCTAGAAAACCGAATTAAAATTTCGGGAGTTCGAATGTTAACAAAACGCAAGTAGCGAGTGATGCGGGTACGAGCCACACATGCAGAACGCTGCCAGCAACTGGGACTAGATGCGAAAACCGCCTGTGCCGTTAGATTCCGTTAGTAAATCTCGGTTAGGCGTGTGAGAAATGTGCATAACTATGACAGTGTATTTACTATTAGCCAAAAACTGCCTCTCTAAATTCGACCCGTAACACTCGCACTCCACGTCGTCAGCGCTGAATACATGAAAATAAAATTGGGTCTTACGTGGGGTAACCCTACCAAAATATCCTAAAAAATAATAATTTACCCTAGAAGCACACACTATTTGCCAGTAATTAGCGCGAGGGTTTAAATAGCGAGGGTAAAATCTGAGGGTGGCGCTGGTATCACTGATACGGCTTCTCTCGCCCGCGAAGGGCTTCCCAGGCCCTGGCGCGTCAGTGCGCCTCAAGACTTGGTCGGGGCACGTCGTGTGTCTTGCTCGGTGTCTTGTGTGATAATTTGTAAGATAAATCCTTTTTTACTATGTATTTCGGCTGTGTCTTTGTAGCCAATGAAGCAATATTTGAATGACGCGACCATCGGCTTAATTTCTTTTAGCATAAATATGCCAAATTCAATGTTTATAGTATTCGATATTATGAAGTTATTGAATAATTATTGATGAAAAGGATAAATAAATTTTCGTTTTATAACCCTCTTCAATAACCTGCCTAAGCCCACCACTCACTGGTCCACTTCACCCCACTGACCCACTTCACCCCACTGACTCACTTCACCCCTGACCCACTTCACCCCACTGACCCACTTCACCCCACTGACCCACTTCACCCCACTTCACCCCACTGACCCACTTCACCCCACTGACCCACTTCACCCCACTGACCCACTTCACCCCACTGACCCACCTGACCCCACTGACCCACTTCACCCCACTGACCCACCTGACCCCACTTACCCACTTCACCCCACTTACCCACTTCACCCCACTGACCCACTTCACCCCTCTAACCCACCTGACCCCACTTACCCACTTCACCCCACTGACCCACTTCACCCCACTGACCCACTTCACCCCACTGACCCACTTCACCCCATTGACCCACTTCACCCCACTGACCCACTTCACCCCACTGACCCACCTGACCCCGCAGGGCGCGTAAGCTGGACCCCACTGAGGTGCCCAAGGACAGCGAGCCCACCACGAAGATCATCCCCATCAGCGAGTACGGGCCCACCCTCACCTCAACCGTCCTGCACACCCCCACACCCACCTACGTCCTGCCCCACCTCGCCTCCTACTGCGACCCACCAGGTGGGCCTCAGCTGGCGACACTTGGGGTGGGTTGAGAATATTTTAGGTGGGTTGAGGTTAAGTTAGGTGGGTTGACAATACGTTATGTGGGTTGAGGACACATGAGGTGGGTTCTCACCCCCCTCCCCTCCCCCCAGACGAGGCCGCCCCCCACGAGGGCTCGACGGTGATCAGCGTCCAGCACCCCGCCCCCCCTCCTGGTACGTCACTCAGGGATATGAGTGAAATTTTGTCTCAATGTCGATACACTTTTGGCTCTTAGTGGGTTAGCCTGACCCAGTTTACCCAGATAAAGAGCGTACAAGTGCAGGAAGCACACTTTTTGCATAGTGCATATTGTATATGCACTATGCAATCTATGCACAAAATCTATCTATATGCACTATATCTATGCTACTATACAAGTATGTGCACTTAGTACAAGTGCATACACTTGTAATAGTGGGCATATTGTATAAATATATCTATTTATACAATATGCCCACTTATTTTTCTGATAGTTATTGTCATTGAACATTTTTTATACCTTTGTTTATGTGCATTTTTTATCTAATTTAGCCATTCTATTTAAATTTGATTTATTGATTCTTTTATTTCTTTACATTTGTATTTAATTTCATTCGTTTAATTAAGCATCACTTTTTTAGGTTAAGGTAAATTAATGAATCTCTTGGCTCTTTTCCACATTTAAGTTCCATATTATAATAATGTTGATAATAATAATTATTTATATTTTGTTTATACTGGCAGAAAATTGCAATTATATAGGTAATAGTAATAATAGCTTAGTATTATAATAATTACCATTTCCCTCCTCCCCCAGGAGTCTCCCCCAGGCCTCCCCCAGAGGAGCCCTTCACCATCACCTTCAGGAACGTGGCTGAGGCCCCCCTCCCCCGCCCCCCCTCATCCCTCCCCCCATGCCTGCCCCACGACCACAGTACGTTTATATATACTAGCATTCTATTATATATTAATATTAATTAATATCTAATTAACTTAATTCTTTGTCAATTGACTACGGAATTAAGAAATAATCACGAGATTAAATATACCATTATTCAATTATCTGTTAATATTAATAATAATATTTAATTCTTTATAAATTAACAAGGGGATTAAGAATTAATCCATTAATTCATTTAAATATAATTTAAAATATCCTCTTTAATTTATTTATCATTGGACGAAAAATTTCAAATAACATTGAACGAGTTTATCCGCCCAGTGAATGTTTAAATATTTTGATCCCGAACAAACATTTACCCCCGGCAGACGCGGCCTCAGCTGTGGGAGCGACCACCACTCCCCCAGACTCCCATGCAAGTGTAAGTTGTGCACACGTGGGCCCCCACATCACCCACTTCAGCACCCACGACCTGCTCTCCCATGACTTACTCACCGAGAATTTACTCACCCAGAACCTGCTCACCCACAACCTCATCGCCCAGAACATCTTAGCCAAGGACGGCGAAACTGAACGCATCCTCGAACAAAGTCTGCTTACAAATCAACTACAGACCAAGGAACGGATAGACTACCTCGACCGGGAGACTAGTTCCTACCACAACCAGCAGCAACCATTGCATCTACCACCACACAACCAGCACCCGTCTACCAGACGGGCGCGGCTGGTGACAGAAGCCGTTGGTAACAAGGGGACCAGCGAATGTTCGGACTCGAGTGGTGACAGATCAAGTTCTTTGTTCGTAGAGGTTGATTCTGACAGACATTCTGTCTTCAGTGACGGGACCGACAGACAGTCATTGCCTGACAGGCCCGCAGACAGACGCGTCTGTGACGACCACCGCTTCGTGAACGGAGTGGACGGGGCCACCGAAAGTCCCCATCAGCAATTTTTAAACGGGGAGGTCGAGGGACTGACGTACCACCGCCGGTCCCTAATAGGGTCCCAGTCACTAGACGAGGCGACGTATGAGTACCCCGATGATGGCACGCGTCCCCAGAGGTTCATCATCCCCAAGCAGCTGAGTGAGATAATCCCCGACTCAGCGTACCTGGGGCAAACGTACCCCGGACAAATCGCGAGCTCTGGAACTTCTTACCCTAAACCTGTGGTGGACCAGAACCACGACATCGGTGGACCCAAACCGGCCACCACGACACAGCGGCGGTCCACCTCGTCCATCAGCTCCTCTGGCCACCGTCGGGTCCACGTGTCCACCAGCAGCGCTGCCTCGAACGGCCCGACCATCTCTGGCCGCCGGACCATAGAGTGTCAGACGGACATCATCATCGCGGATGTTAAAGCTGCGTCTGGGATACTAGCGTCGCATCACCCACGCGCCACCACCCAGTCCGGCACCCAGACCCTACCGGTGACAGACACTCTGCCAGTCACCCAGACGCTGCCAGTCACCCAGACCTTACCAGTCACCCAGACCTCCGCTGCTCATCGGACCTCAGCGTCGTCAGACTCAGATTTTTATCAGGACGCGGTCGGCGAAGAGTGTCCCGGCAGGCCTACGGCCCCTAAGCCTACTGAATATAGCGATCACGATACAAAGGTCTCTAGACCTACCGAAGTTAGACCTCCAGCCTCATGGTCTCCGGAATCTAGACCATTGGATCCTAGGCACACAGCCGCGACAAGTCAAGAGACCAAGTCTACAGTTTCTAGACCTGCTACCGCACCTAGTGTTCAGAACAACGTTCCTGCGTACTCTACCCCTACCCCTCCTTCTAACTCTAACGCTTCTTCCACCTCCACCGTCGGGTCAGGGTGTTCGGTGTCCACTTTACCTTCCAACGCTCGTAACATTCCTGCAGCCAGAAACTTCCAAAACTCTACCACCGCCACTTCTTCCGGCCCATTTCCGCACACTTCCTCTCCCGCTACCGCAACTTCCGGGTCTTCAGTCACTGGTTTAGCCTCACAAACGTCAGGTGTTCCTAACACCTCTTCACAACTTCCAACTTCTGGTGTCCAATCTCATGCATCCGGCTCTATACTTCCTACTTCCTGTGCTATACTTCCTACTTCCTGTGCTATACTTCCTACTTCCTGTGCTATACTTCCTACTTCCGGCTCTATACTTCCTACTTCCGGTTCTATACTTCCTACTTCCGGTTCTATACTTCCTACTTCCGGGTCTATACTTCCTACTTCCGGTCTTCTCACTTCCTCTTCCTTGCCGTTTACTTCCGGCTCTTCCTCTCTTGTCACTTCAAGCTCTCCAGGAAGGATGACGGTTGCTCAGGTACTTCATCCATTCTTATTTTTTCTTTCATTGCTACTTTATAACCACTGACACTGGCTGGGCTTTTCAACCACTTTTTAGTTTCTCTCTCTTTTAGCTCTTTAGTTTAACACTGAGCTTTTCTTAACCACTTTTTTAGGCTGGGCTCGTTTCCCTCGTTTGCTGTTCAAGTTTCCCGTTTCTCGTTTTTCCCCGTTCGTTTTTTTCTTAGTTTCCCTCGTTTTCTGTTTTATTTTCACTCGTTTTCTGTCGCACCAACCCTTCTTTTCTATTAAATTGTTCTCTTTTTTATTCGTAGCTTTTCCCCTTACCTTCCCTCGATGTTTTTAAAAGTTTCATTTATTGTAAAGCCATAATTCTCTTTATATATTAACTGTTTTATCTTTATTAGTCAGCCCCCGTTAATGATCATTTTTGTTACCCTGCGACGCAACTGATTTATTAATTGACATTAAAATAATTGTCAATGAAATTTAACTTTTTATTTTCGGTGTCATAATTACTGATAATTTTGTCATCACTTTGGCTATTATTTTTGTATTTAGTTGAATTTTTGTAGCTGTGTTTACAAGTATTTATCATTGCTAACATGTCCATTATATATATATACCGTAGTCACTAACCACGTGTCATCGTTCACAATATATATCATTGCTAGTTGAAATTCTTTATACAAATGTGAACAGTTAATTGAGTTGACGATTCAATTAATGTTTAGAAATTTATAAGAATTTGTAAGTTAACTTATAATTGAAAAAATTATTTGTTTGATAAACCCCAACCATCTCATGGTGGGTTGAGGTTATGTAACCCCTCCTCCCGCCCTCTCCAACCCCCCTCCCCTCACGGCCCTCCCCCCGTTCCCCCAGGAGAGCGCGGGAGCGTCGTCCCCCACTGAAGGGGAGGGTACGGGGGGCGCCGCCCCCCAGGCCGCCGCCAAGCACTGGGGCCCTGAGCGCGTCGTGCAGGTCAGCTAAGCTATGAGTAATTAATAGAGTAATTTAAACTATAGACTAAATTATATTATTGATCCATTAACTATTGAATGAATGAAGAAGATAAGATAATGAAGAAATTATCTTAAGTCGTGCATATATTTCTTTAATATAATTTGATTTGAAGATTTGAATATTGGAGCTCATATCATCTATATGGTGCAGGTATACCGGGACCAGAACAACAGCCTCGGCATCAGCATCGTGGGCGGGCAGGTGGAGCTCAACTGGACGGGGTCCTTCGTGAACGGCATCTTCATTAAGAACGTCCTCCCGTCCTCCCCCGCCGGCAAGAGTGGACTCCTCAAGGTAAAGGGTCCTCCCCCGCCCTGCTAAAGTGGACTCCTCAAGGTAAAGAGTCCTCCCCCGCCCTGCTAAAGTGGACTCCTCAAAGTAAAGAGTCCTCCCCCGCCCTGCTAAAGTGGACTCCTCAAGGTAAAGGGTCCTCCCCCGCCCTGCTAAAGTGGACTCCTCAAGGTAAAGTGTCCTCCCCCGCCCTGCTAAAGTGGACTCCTCAAGGTAAAGGGTCCTCCCCCGCCCTGCTAAAGTGGACTCCTCAAGGTAAAGGGTCCTCCCCCGCCCTGCTAAAGTGGACTCCTCAAGGTAAAGGGTCCTCCCCCGCCCTGCTAAAGTGGACTCCTCAAGGTAAAGGGTCCTCCCCCGCCCTGCTAAAGTGGACTCCTCAAGGTAAAGGGTCCTCCCCCGCCCTGCTAAAGTGGACTCCTCAAGGTAAAGGGTCCTCCCCCGCCCTGCTAAAGTGGACTCCTCAAGGTAAAGGGTCCTCCCCCGCCCTGCTAAAGTGGACTCCTCAAGGTAAAGGGTCCTCCCCCGCCCTGCTAAAGTGGACTCCTCAAGGTAAAGGGTCCTCCCCCGCCCTGCTAAAGTGGACTCCTCAAGGTAAAGGGTCCTCCCCCGCCCTGCTAAAGTGGACTCCTCAAGGTAAAGGGTCCTCCCCCGCCCTGCTAAAGTGGACTCCTCAAGGTAAAGGGTCCTCCCCCGCCGGCAAAAGTGGACTCCTCAAGGGTGCGAGTTCCCCTCCTGGCTTGTGAGTGATATCGAAGTTTGGGACATCTTTGTTATCCTTTTTGTATTCCTGCTATAATTAATTATCTTGATGCCTTCAATCCTAGGGGAATATTTCCTCCTCCTAACCCCTCCTGCCCCCCAGACCGGGGACCGCATCCTGGAGGTGGAGGGGCAGGACCTGCGCAACGCCCCCCACGAGCGCGCCGTCGAGGTCATCAAGAACACCGGCAACCCCGTCACCTTCGTCCTGCAGAGCCTCGTCAGATGGGTGAGGGGGGGTTGGGGAAAGATGGAGGGAGGGGGAGTGTGGCGGGGTATAAGATTGGGGGTAAGAAAGCAGGGGAATGAGTAGCTTTATACCTAAGTAAATAGTCGCTTTATAATAGTATTTAGTTTATGATGAAATTAATTGTTTGTATCCCCCATTGTCCCCAGACCCCCGCGGAGTCTGGTCCCAGTTCCCGGGACTCGAGTCGCCTGGGGGTGCGTCCCCCCACCGCCGTGCCCCCCGTGGCCCGCACCCCCACCCCCGAGCTTATCCAGGTAAGGGAGCCGCTGGTCCCGGACTGTGATACCGGCCGGGACGCGGTCCCCCACTGGGACCCCTACCCCCACTGGGACTCCCAGCGTGAGGGGGTTCAGCACCGACCCCACCTCCCCCCCAACAGCGTCATGGTTCTCCCCATGCCAGGAATCCCACACAGGTTCCCCACTGCTACCTTGGGGAGGCCGCAACGTCACCCTCATACCTCCTCAGCGTTGGGGTTTAACCCCGCGGGTGTTGAGATTTACGATAACCTGCGTGACCCTGACCCACCGGGCTATGAAATCCCCAGCAGGACCGGGAATCTTCCCCAGCACCCGGGGTTTGGGGTTACCAGACCCAGCAGCACGGCAGCGTTTTTTCGGGTACTTCCCCCGACGCGGGGATTCAATAACATTTGGGCGTCATGCGACATCGATGCTCTGGAAGACTCATCCTCTTGGGGAGGGACCCACGGCACGAAGAGCGTCCCCAACCTGTCGGGGGGCTTGGGGCTCGACCATCACGAGGACTCAGGCCGGGGGGGAATAGCGGCGTCCCTCCACCTTGAGGCTTCCCCGAAAAGCAAGAGCCTCGGTCCCCTCACCCCATTCCCCAAAATCCCCACACACTCGTGGGAGCAGGGATACTCAGATGACGATGACGTAGCCCCGTATCATCCCCACCAAGCTCCCCTCGGGGACCAGGAGTGCGCTAAACTCAACAATGTGTTGGCAAGCTGTGACTGTGCCAAGTGCCGCGTTGAAACAAACCTGTTGACTCACGGTAGCTTTTCTAACGCCTGTGCTAACGCAATCACTAACGCCTCTTCTAACGCCCTGCACTCTTCGCCACCACCTAAACTCCCACCTAAAAACGCTAGTAAGATCATCACTAGTAACGCACCTAACGCTTGTATAGCAGCACCTCATAGTGGTCTCACCTCGGTACATAGCTCTTCTATTTCTACTGCCACTTCTGACCACTTCACTTGCACCACTTCTACCTCTATGTACTCTGACGCCAGTACCACCGTGAACGTTACCGGTACCACCATTGACAATAATACTTCTAGACTACCTCCATATGCTGGGGCTAATCCCTCTTATACCACCTCTTGTATTTCTGAGCAATCCCCAGAAACGGGGAATTTTCGTCACTCATCGTCGATTTCAGACGCATCGGCGGCGACTCCCACACTGACGCGGGGCAGCGCCAAGTTGCAGGATTTTCGGGTGGTCGAGCACCCAGAGGGTTCCGGTAGACGTCTCGTCACCAACTCTCACGTCGATCTCAAACGGCAGGCCGACGAAAATCACCCTCCACTAATAACGTCGACCAAGAATGACCCCCCATTACTAACGCCGACCAATAAAGACTCTTCGCTGACGAAGGAAGAACATAAAGTCGTCAGCACATGTGACAGCTCGACCATCACGTCACCTGCCATCAGTCCTGATACCTTCACGGATCCTTATTTCCTGTACGCCAGCACCGCCCTGGAGTTGTGGAACAGACAAACTTCTTGTGTCACAACCTCCGCTACCAACACTGTGACCACCGAACCGCCTAACACCAACGGTGTCCAAATGTCTAACTTGCTACCTAGTAAGAATGGTATATCCTCTGATGCCGAACTCGTTGTGGTTAAAGATGCCGAAACATTATCTGTCGACCTCCTGACCCCCCGGGAACCACTCGACAGCAGCAGTAGTGCAGACTACGACTTCAGCAGCACAGGGGAGGTGATCCGTAAAGAGGAGATTTCTTCGAGTGAAAAACCTGTCGCGAGTTTGAGGGTAGGCAGCACCACCTCCGGGTCATCAAGTGGGTCTCCTGAAGTAGAGGCCGACTTGGGTAGGAAGGCTGCAGATGAACCTGAAGAAATAGGGTGCAAGCCACCATCCAGAAACTATAGTGACTCGAAAATCAACGAGGAATCTGGTGATTCTGGTATAACAGATTTGGGTAAAGTAGGAAAATCTGACGCCAGAAACGTAGAAGCAGCACCACCAGTTGCAGAATCTGATTCAACCAACGTGGGCGCTTCAGCTGTAGAACAACAAACTGATGATACACATCATTTGGCTCCTTCAGAAAATATAGATAAAAATGACGATCTTACTTCCATGCAGTGTGTCGATCAAGCGTCGAGAGAAGGCGCGAGATTGGCTGAAAATGTATTTCCTCCAACTAAGGAAGTAGCATCGAATATTGTCAGCAGACCGGAAGAAGTTGTGGTTGCTGAAGCAGAGAGTGAGAAGGGTGGTAGTTACCCGTCGTGCACAGTGGACGCCCTACGTGGTCGTGACGTGGATGTGTCCAAGATTCTGGATGAGGACTTACAGAGCCGGAGACTGAGCCAGACCCTGACCCGGAAGACAGGAAGCACTGACCTGGACGAGGTACGGGAACTTCTAGAGAAAGATACAGGGGACTACACCTACGAACTCACTCTGAGGGACGTTACTGGAACTTTCCCTTCCACTGATAGGCGTGTTTTTGACTTTTACGACGAACAACCTTCTACCGAGCAAGATTTGTTGCAAGACACCGCATCCACATCCCTCCGTCAAGCACCTCAGGCCAATCTTGCAGATCCTCCGCGTCCATTGGATTTTCGATATGACCCTCTCGATGGCTGTCGGAGCCGCAGTCGCAGCATGGATGCCACATCCTTGTTGTTCTCCATGAGTCACCATCCATCTAGTCAGATGAGACCGTTTGCAGCAGAGCCTGCCGAAGTTATTCCTGCGTCGGTTCTGTTCAGCCACATCCTACCTACCAGCAGAACCTTTCCTGTTACCACCACCTGCGTCGCCAGCATTCAGCACCCCTTACGAGAGAAGCTGGGTACTCTCGAGACATCGTTAGACCAAGAGTCAATCAGTAACACCCAAGTAAGAGAGTGGTCTTGTACCGCCCAAGTGGGAGAGTGGTCTGGTACCACCCAAGTTGGGGAACCTGTGAATGAGTGGTCAGAAGAAGAAATGGAGCCAAGTAGCACGCCGAAGTTCCCCTTGTATTCCAGAAGTTACGACCGGCCGTTAACGCTCGACAAATCTCTTAGCGGAGATCACGCCGCGTGGTCGCGACCACCCCCCTGCTCCCCTGCCTATGACGAGGTGTCCACAAGCTTTAGTCTCAGAGACGACTACGATGACAATGAAGATGAAGTAGGTGACTTGGTACCTACCATATCTCACTCCACCGGCCGCGGACCTGCTAGGTACACCCTGCAGCGGGCCGACTCTGGAATACCCGAAGATGTGCTCAAGATGACCGCCGAAATTTCCACCATCCTACAACCCTGTCCCGGCTCCATCATGCACTCTACCATCGCGGAAGAGTCCTCATTCATCGAGGGAACGCCGTCCCACAGCGACTCCTCGAGTCTCCCGCGGGGCAGCATAGACTTGGGACAGCGGATGGGGGACCGGGGCCCTGACGGCTGTCCCCCACGAGGCCCTCCTGAGGACAAGACTTTCCTGGAGGAGAGGCTGTCGTCAGGTTCATCTCACGACACCATAAATTCTGCGGATTCTTTTTTATGGAATAGCAGGCGGAAGCTGGAGGCTGCACGGCATCCGCCTGAGTACACTTCACACTTTCATCCGTACACGCAGCGACACAACAATGTACAATTAAATCAGGAACGGCAACAACAACTGTCACATCAGCAAGCTGACGCGCACCAAATTCAACAACACCAGTTGCAACAACACCGGTTGCAACATCAGTTGCAAGAAGATCAGTTGCAAGAACATCAGCTTCAACAACAGCAGTTGCAACAACATCAGTTTCAACAACAGCAGCAGCAATTCGAGCATCAGCAACAATTAATCAAGCAGCAGCAGCATCTGCAACAACAGCAACAACGCCAGGAATATCAGATGCAGCTGCAGCAACATCAGCAACAGATGGAGACACGTCTGTTGGACCACCAACGTCAACAGATGCAGCTGCTGCAGCAACAGAGATTCTGGACTCAACAGTCAACACAACAACAACAGCCAGAGGGGCAAGGAAGTTTGTCTCCAAAAAACCACACGGGGACGACTTTCCCCATTAATCCTCCAGAACTTCCCCTCAGAAGAGGAAAGCTCCTCAGAACCCAGTCTGTGGATGTTTGTCCCGTGGGGAGCGGCGTGGGGATCAGGTCACGTGAGGGAAGTTCTGATTACGATTATGCAGGAGAAACTGTGTTCGCCGAGGCACTGAAAGACATTGAGCCTTTTAGGGAAAGACGAGATTCTAGAGATGGACAAGTTCCTAGGGATGGACAAGTTCTTAGGGATGGACTATACCCTAGAAATGGACAAGTTCCTAGGGACGGACAAACTATGGACAGACCATCAAAACCGCCGAGGACGAAGCAAACCAAGAAACGAAGGACACGTGGTCGGTTGTCGGCGTCCGCGCGGTCCCGAACCATCGCTGTCCTTCCTGCCGAAGACGACGAGAATTTAGTGATAACTTATCGGGACGCGGGGCACTCCTCCCCCACCAACCGACAACTCGTGTTCGACCACTCGAACAACTACCGCAACCTGCAGGAGGTCGTCACTGACGACAAGGGCGTGATGATCGTAACCACCCCCGTCTCGTCACACGTCCCGATGTTGACGTCTGCCGAAGACGTCCCGACAAGAACGACGTGCATTTTGACCACAACCAGCGCCAACATCGCAACGTCTTACGTCTCCTCCACCAACATCGTCACGACCGAAACGAAGTCGCTTTGCGTCACGACGAAGACTCGTCCTTCTCACCCGCTGTGGGGACGCAAGGGGGCCTCCCCCGCCAGGAGTGTGATGGCCTCACTCGTGCAGGACCTGACCTCATCAAGTGTGTGTCAGCGCATGGCCTCAGCAAACAATGACGTTGCGAAAGCGCCTGGTCCGCTGGCCCCACAGAAGGCCTCACCCCCACCGACGACACGCATTCAAGCCCGCGTTGTTCCTGAGGCCAAAACCACTGAGGCCCTCAGGCCCCGTCCTGATGATGACCAACAGCTTCCCTCCACAGTTTCCTTCGTTGGCCCCATGATGGCTCAGTCACGAGTCATGGCTGGGGGCTTGGGCTCAGGGTACGTGAGCCCCGCCACAGGGTACGAGAGCCCCACCACGGGGTACGACTGCCGGTACGATCCTCACCTGTGGCCAGGCTGGTACCGCGGGGTCCTGAGCTACAAGCTGGCCGCCGCGGTGCCGGTGCAGCCGGACTCCCCCAACGACAGCCCCGCCCACCCCCGGAATCCCCACCTCTTTCTTCCCCCTGCCTTACCCCCACCATGTGAAGATGGCATCCACTGCGGGGAAGAAGACGATGGCCCCACTCCCCACTGTGGGGGAGGCCAGGCCCCATGCTCTGATGGGGTGCACTGCGGGGAAGATGATCCTCCACCCCCACGCCGCCCCGTGAGCACTTCCACTCTCCAGTGCACCGCTGTACCCCCTCCCCTTCCACCTGCATGAGTCACCCTTTCCTCCCCACTGAGGGGTTTTATTCCCCCATAACTTGCACGGCTTGCATTTGCACCCTCGCTCGCGCCCCATTTTCCTCCTCCCCAATCAAAAATAGAAAAAATTCGCGAAATAAGAAATAAATTGCATGGTATTGCTATTGCTTGACTTTCTCCCGATCAAGGCCTTTCGAGTCGATCACAAAACTTTGCTCATATAAGTAGCGTAACCACGTGCGTCTCACGTATCTGTTCGCACGTGTTGTGTGGAGCACACGTGCTTGTGGGGCCATCACATATGTGCATTGTGCAAGTCCAAGTTTTAGTGCATGATCTCTTTGTGCCAAATGATGCCATTTCGCAAATGTGACAAATTTATCCCGTTTCATTGATGTTGGTATTTAGCTGATGCATTGCACCTAATAGTTTTGGCGATATTATTACTATGATTCATGTAGTAATAGTTTAATGTTACGCCACAATATTGCGTTATTTGCCTGATGAGATGTGGCAACACCGCGTGTACGTCTCCCGTTAAGATTTGGCAGCCAGCTGCTGTTATCGTACCGGGCAGCTACTTGCCGATCTCACGCATTTAGCAGCGACGTGGCAACGCCGGCTTTATCCCCTAGTGACTGAGATGTGGCATGCATTGCTTTTGCATCTTCACGATGTTTCTATTTATGTGTTTATGAACATTCTGCCTGTTCCTAGTGTGTTCTGGAGCTTTACATGGAATACAGCTTTGAACGCTTTGCAACGGAGTTTTGTTCGTTTCAAAAAGGAAATTTCTTTTTAAATCGTGTTCCGTGTCAATTATTGGTGATTTCAACTCCCGTTTAAGCTGTAAATGTGTGTTTACTGTTTCCAGCATTACATTCATTATATCAATTGCATTTATCTAAATAATTTAGGTACTCATTGAATGTTATTTATATATATTTCTTTTTGTATCATTGTATTCATGTATTTTACTGACTAATTATATTCATTTTTCACCATATTAATTCATATTAAGTGTTCACTACCAGAAGAGTTCGTCCCCCACTGACCCCCACCTGACGCCCCCATTTAATGTTTTTATATAATTGTTTTTAAACAAAACTTTTATTTTTGTTATTTGAATTCCGCCTTGCGTTCATTAGATAATTCTTACCCGAAATTATTAGCTGTGCCGGAAAATTTTTGCATTGGGATGATATATTGTGCTATATTATATATATGGAATACATTGGCAGTATAGTAGGTTACGTATATCAAAATTGGCTGCAAGTTGTTCATGTGCTTTTATTGTTCATTTTATTGTATCTAACTTACCTCACATTTTTTCTTGAATATAATTGAATATATTTTAGCTGTAGTGGTGTGTTGAATGTGATGTGTTGTGTGTGTTGAAAATGATGTTAATGTGTTGGATCTTATAATAATGTGTTGAATATACCCAATCGGAATTCAGGGGGTGGTTAGCTTCTGAAGTAGGGACGCCTTTGGCTCGCCCAGCGCGTAAATTAGCGGCTCTTTTATGTGCGCTTTAGGTTCTGCTTGTGGGAGGGAAATGAGCGCCTGATTAGAATCCGATTTTCGACGACCGCGGGGCGAGTGCGGGACGCTCGTACCCCATCAAAATTTTGATGCCTGTCAGCCGCTGGCTCAAGCGCGCCCCAAGCTCGCCCAACGGTATAGATCAGCGGCTCTATGCCCGCTTTATAGGTTCTGATTGTATGAGGGAAATGAGCGCCTGATTAGAATCCGATTTCCGACGACCGCGGGGCGAGTGCGGGGCGCGCGTATTTGGCACCTGATAACTTCGGGACAGACACGGCTAAACAAGCTGAAATAAGCGTTAAAAAATGCCCTCTACCTTCCCTCTTATACTTATTTTTTAGAGATGTTGAATTTGAATCTCTGTACGCTATAAATAAATGCAGATTAGTATTTCTCGCTTAGTTACAAGATCAGAGCCAAGCCTATATCATGCAAAGACTTCATTTCTATGCATAGACTCACGTTGCAACTAGTAACTTTTTGGCATCACTTTTTTTCTAAAATGTGGGCAAAAATCACTTCCCAAAGAAATAAATTACAATCTCTACAATAATGTAAATTATTCGAGGTAATGCAATTCAAGGCTATTCGCCCATTCTATCCATACGTCGTTCTGAATGAACTACATCGTTTTTAAGATTATCCAACTGTTCTGCAAAGGCCTTAAAATTCCGCGTACAACAATCCGCGAACTAAAACTTTCGTCGAAATTCACGTTGCAAATATAAAGTTCATTTTGACGTTGCTGCTTGTGATGACAATTTCCGGAATCAATCCGTCTGAAAATTTACAGTTAATAATAAGCAAATAACAACTAAATAATTATGCATGACTCCTGTACTTGACTCCAGTGATAAAGCTAATGATAGATAACACACTGCACGAAGTGATAAAACATTTATGGAATAGATTTCTTAATTTGCTCGAGTAGCTGCAACAATTTTTTCTTCATTTGATGATGTGACTTACGTATTCGGAAGTAGGTATAATTTTGGATTTTGGTATAAGAATGTTCAAACTAAAGAGCTGTTCTATCTCAATTTAAGCACTTGCGGCTCAGCGAACAGAAGCGCCCGTACAAGTATCAGGTTGAAAATGGGCGTCTTGAACTGTAGGTTCATGGGTTTGTTTTTCATGGGTCCATGCTAAATTTCAACTTAAAGTCGACTCTCCTTTCGTTCAGTCATATTTCGTAGCAAACTTACACGTAGACATTTATTAGCGCCATTTAACGAGCGGGAGATGGTCGTGGTTAGCGCAGTTACCTCCGTCCAGCCTCCGATCAGGGTCATCGTGAGATAGCCTTGCCAGCGTCTGACCAGAGGCATCAATTAAGAAGCGGCTTGACCAGCTGCTCTCTTCGGTTATATATTATTATATATTATTCAGATTCGGCCCACCGGGCAATCGGCTTCCAAATGAGACTGTTTAATTAACAGCCGATCACACTATAAGCGGCCGATTTGAGCCTGATTTATCTTTAAGTGGAATCCATTGCCTCTGAAACGACCCAAATAGGAACGCAACTTTGACTGGATAACACTATTGTGTGTTGAGTGTGATAATTTCTTGAATGTGATACTATATAATGTCTTAAATGTGCTACAAATGAGTAGAAAATAACACTCACGTGTTGAATGTGACCCTAATGTGTTGAATGCAATATTATTGTGTTTGATGTGAAATTGATGTGTTGAATGAGTCATTCTTTAAAAAGAATGTGGTAGTGATTGTGACCTCCTGAGTGATTTTTATTGAGGCTTTCAAATAAAATAGGGTGTTTATAAAACGCAAGTTTAAACGATTGCGGCTTTTTTAGTGAAAAAAAATATTTCAAATCGAATCGCCCTCCCCCTCCCCAGGCTGGCCTCAGTGACAGGGAGAAGCAGGAGCTGCAGGCCCTGCGCCAGGCCTCCCTCGCTCGGGGGTCCCGTGACTCCCCCAGTGAGGGGGAGGAGGAGGAGGAGGACGGGGGTGAGGCCAGTGAGGGGGAGCCCAGTGAGGCCCTCAGTGACAGGGAGGAGGGGGAGGAGGAGGAGGAGGACAGCGAGGCCGACGACAGGGAGGACCAAGGGAGGGTCGAGACCGCTGGGGGAGAACAGGTGGGACTTAAAAACTGAAAAAATTCTACCTTAAACTTTACATTTTGAGATAAATATTGGCGTTCGTAGAATTGGCCCATTAATAGTTTTGTTTGTAATGTTGTGTACAAATTGGCATATCATTGTGCAGTTTGTAATCACCTTAAAATGTTGATGTGCAAAACACTAATTGATCAATTGAAGCTTCTAACTGAACGTAAGCAACCCAAGTGGGGGGATTCCCCCGTTTGGTATTTGTGTCCCCTCACGTTTATATTCAGCCGCCTCCTCCTCCCTCCCCCAGATCGACAGGGCCTCAGCGGGGGCCCTCAAGAAGCTCCCCACTGACACTGAGGAGGAGGACGCCTTTGGTTACACCAGCAGTGAGTATCATTATTAAAATTCTAAGATTTTTCTGGAGTTTAAAATGATGAAGTTATTTAAAAGATAAATTTTGAGTTTTCGACCGTTTCACAAGTTCCTGCTTATGTTTTTCAAAAGTTTTTCAACAAGGATCTGACGTTGACATAACGTAAATTCAACGTTGTTTTAGATCCACTAATATATTTTGATGATCGTGTTGATTATATGGGTAATTAATCGGAAGGCAATTGCAATTCAAAGGATTTTGAGCCTAGAGTTATTTTCAATTATTTTGGCATTAAATACGAGATGAGAAATTACTACGAGACATTACTTAGTCTCATCTCATAACACATTATAGGCACTGGTTAAAGTAACGGAGTGTCGCATGCAGATGAACGCTGGCAGCGAAAAGTCATTTCAAATTGATTATCATTTACCTATTGTTGATAAGGTGCGTTCGGCGGCCGCGCTATGTCGATGTATTGATGTTTCTTTGCAATTATAATACGTTTTTTTACCTGAGTTACGGTACTGATTTGAAATAAATAAGCTTATATATTACCTATAGTGGTGCTTATGTCTGCTTAGGGCGTTTCATGCAAAAACGTTTGCTCGGTAAAGCTTGAAGCTTTTAACGCGGAGTACCTATGGTCTAAAATTCTGTTCTTTGGGTAATTTTTCTTTGAGAAGAATTGCCCGTGAATCGATGGCACTAACGTCATTTTTCGTAATCCCAGAAGAGGAACCGTACGAAGCGCTAACCGAACCGCAAATATTTGCGCCAAGTACACGAGTCACCCCCGCAGCGGGAGGCCTGGGAGTGTGGGGGGGGGGATGAGTTGAGGGGGGAGAAAGGGGGCACACTGAGGCCACAGTCGCCAGTCGCCACTGAGTCTCAGTCACCCTCGAGCGGCGGTCGTGAGAGGATGTCGCGCTGGTTGTTGCGCAACCAAAAGCAGAATTTCCCTTGGCATCGATTGCCGCAGTTGACGCTGCCGAGCTTCCAAACTTGCCCTTTTTTACCAAGTCTAGGCATTTCGGTTATGTTATAAATTAGAAAAAATAAAAACTTACAGTGCTTGGAAATAATTATTAATGTCGGAAATACAGAGCATATATAGCGCATTTTTCAAGCAAACATTTACTGTTGTTAGGTAGGGAAATCTAGCACGAGTGTTGAATTCCGTGGGAAAATCTAGTACATGAATAAATATGGCGGTGCCACAGTGAGGCATGTTGACCCATCAAAATGAGTCAGTGTGACCCACACTGACGTGTCAGGATGCGCGCTATACACACTGACACAGACAGTCTTGACTCATCCGAGTGTGAGTCAGTTGACTCAGCCTGCTTTGATATAGGTACCTATACCTGGTATATTGTTAGCATTGTAGGCTATTGTTGTGCTGATATAGGTACCTATACCTGGTATATTGTTAGCATTGTAGGCTATTGTTGTGTTGATATAGGTACCTATACCTGGTATATTGTTATCATTGTAGGCTATTGTTGTGCTGATATAGGTATCTATGCCTGGTATATTGTTATCATTGTAGGCTATTGTTGTGTTGATATAGGTACCTATACCTGGTATATTGTTATCATTGTAGGCTATTGTTGTGTTGATATAGGTACCTATACCTGGTATATTGTTAGCATTGTAGGCTATTGTTGTGCTGATATAGGTACCTATACCTGGTATATTGTTAGCATTGTAGGCTATTGTTGTGTTGATATAGGTACCTATACCTGGTATATTGTTATCATTGTAGGCTATTGTTGTGCTGATATAGGTACCTATGCCTGGTATATTGTTAGCATTGTAGGCTATTGTTGTGCTGATATAGGTACCTATACCTGGTATATTGTTATCATTGTAGGCTATTGTTGTGCTGATATAGGTATCTATGCCTGGTATATTGTTATCATTGTAGGCTATTGTTGTGTTGATATAGGTACCTATACCTGGTATATTGTTATCATTGTAGGCNTTTATGACCTCGGTCCCCAGTTTATGACCTCGGTCCCCAGTTTATGACCTCGGTCCTAATTTATGACCTCGGTCCCCAGTTTATGACCTCGGTCCTAATTTATGACCTCGGTCCCCAGTTTATGACCTCGGTCCCCAATTTATGACCTCGCTCCCCAATTTATGAACTCGGTCCCCAATTTTCTCGTCGCTCTCTGGCATTTGATTCCCCATCTCCCTCCCTCATTCCCCACGGGGGAAATGCGGTCCATTTATCATGACCCCCTTCCCCCTTATGGGGGAAAGGGATTCGAAGGGATGCGGGGGGAGGAAGAAGAGGGAGACATGATGTTTTTTGGGGGAGAGGAGGGAGGGGGGAAAGGGGAATGCCGTTCACACTCCCTCGCTTAAAGCTGACCTCTTGGATAGCTTCCCCAGCTGTTGGGGGTGGTGGGGTTGTGCCCCCCAATTTTGATGGAAAGGTTTCCCCAGAGTCCTCTCCTCCCTCTCCCTCCCTTCTCTTCCTTCTCCCTCTTTCTCCTCCTCCTACCCTCCTTCTCCTCCCTTTCCTCCCTCTTTACCCCACTAACGTACCCCCACTAACGTACCCCCACTAACGTACCCCCACTAACGTACCCCTGTCTCTTATACACATCTAGATGTGTATAAGAGACAGGGGTCAGGTGGGCATGGGGGGTCAGGTGGGCATGGGGGGTCAGGTGGGCATAGGGAGATGGCGCTGTGGGGTTACTTGCTTCTACTCCCCCTAACTCTCTTTAAAGGTACCTATTTAACCACGAGCAACTCAAGTTGATTCTACCCAGTCTAACGTGTGCCCAGTGGCGGCTCGACCTTCACAGTGAGCACAGCTGTGTCGCTCTCTCACTTGCCTACTGTAGTGTAGGGTAGAAAATTATCGACTATCATTTTGTATTCAATCGTAATACAATTATTCATTGTATTACAGCTGTCGAACTCTTGCTTGCCTCCACCGTGCACACAGCCTTACTCCACAACTCCCAACGTCGCACTGATGCGGGAGCACTGTACCGGAAACATTCTCCTCGTGTATAGGCTCTCAGCCTGCAAAACTGTAGTAGACGCAACTAATAGGCCCGTTTATAAGCACCTTAATCCCCCCCTCCTCCCCCAGGCCACAAGGACCGCAACAGGATGAGCGTCTTCGTGTGTGGCCTCAACCCCCGGGGCAACGCCTACAAGGATGGGGGAGTCCACGTGGGGGATGAGGTGCTGGAGGTGAGTGAGGGGTCCATTTAGTTTTAGTGGGTGAGGGCCGAGGGGGTAAGGTCCGCATTTTGTGGGGCGGGTTGACTGACCCACTTCGGCCCACACCTCTCCTGCCTTCTCAGACTACGTCCCCGTATCTTCTACCCACATCCCCTTCCTTCTCCCTCTTCATGCCCTCCCCTCGTATCTTATTTTATCCAGTGTCCTTAGTTCAGCTCCGTTTTCTACTGCCCCAACAGCAATTCATAGAAAACGGCCCCGGTTCGAGCTATTTTATGGGAGACTGAAATAAAAGACCGTGGTAAAAATAAATGGAAATTCTTGACTATCCCGTTTTGACGGGACGGTGTCATCTTCGTCCCAATATTCCTTTCCCCGCATTCCTCTTTCTCTCCACAGTCCACACCTCTTCCCTCATATCTTAGGGCTTCTTGGCCAAGCTTCGTTTTCTACAATTCATAGAAAACAGCCGCTATTCGAGTCTTTTTAAGGGAGACTGAATTAAATAAAACAGAGTTAAAATATACACGTAGGATAACTGGAGACCGTCCCGTGCCCCCGCAGGTGAACGGGACGGTTGTGTCGGGCCGCTGTCACCTGAACGCCTCGTCGGTGTTCAAGGCGCTGCCAGGTCCCGACGTGCGCCTCGTCGTCCTGCGCCGCACGCAAGGCGTCCACGACATGGCGGTCAAGCCCCTGACCCACTTCCCTGTGTCCCTGGAGGACGAGGTGGGTTGTCTGACCCACTTTTATAACTAGACGAGAAGGCCGTCTGATGTTTTAAATATTATCTGAAATGATAACTTTGGAAATTTTCTATGTGGTGGCTTGTTGCACAGCAAACCTTGTCGTGTTTGTATATATCACTGCAACTGCCCAACTTGAACGTTAAAGTTTTAACCGAGCGAACGCTAGAGTTTATAACAATACAGCGTTATAGGGGTTAGCGTTAATAGCGTTTATAGCTTAATACAGCGTTAGCGTTATTGGTGTTTTTATACGCGATTAAGCCACCGAAGTAATAATGGTAATTACCACTTGTCAACACGCTAGTAATGATGGTTACTGCCAATTTGCTGAAATAATAAGAGTTATGATGGTCATTAGACTGATTATTTGAGGTGATGACAGTGATGGTTATTACCTCCTCCCTTCCTCCCCTGCAGAGACCTGAGGAGAAGTTCGCTCGCTTCAAGGGTCTCGCCAACGTCGTCGTCAAGAAGGTGAGGGCAGAGTGAGGGCAAACTAAAGGTAATGTGAGGGCAAGGTGAGGGTAATATGGAAGCAGAGTAAAGGTAATACGATGGCAGGGTGAGGGTAGTGAGAGGGCAGGGTGAGAGTAGAGTGAGCGCAGGGTGAGGGTAGAGTGATGGTAGGGTGAGAGTTACCCCTCATTTTACCTTTAGTACTTGATTAATACAGTTGAATCTCACTGCACACTCGCCGCCGACTCTGGAGTTCTGATGAAAGTTTTTTAGTGAAAGATGAAGAGAGACGTAAAGCCGTTATGCGTATAATTAATAATTCGTGAAATACAATTGTGAAGACACGATTCTTAACTCAGTTACCCTCATCACCCCGGTTACCATCATCACCCCGGTTACCCTGATTACCCTCAGGGGAGCGCGGGCGTGGGCATCATGATCATCGAGGGCAAGCACGCCGAGTACGGCGAGGGCATCTTCATCTCGGACCTGCAGGAGGCCAGCCCTGCCGCGCAGGTCAGTGGCCATGTGGCGGCCTTATGGCGGCCATGAGTGGCGGCCATGTGGTGGCTATGTGGTGGCCATGTGGTGGCCATGTGGTGGCTAGCTGTTGCCTATCTTGTGACCATCACTACCTGTAAGATAATATCGTAGTCATCATTACCACTAAGATAACTTCGTAGCCAGCACTAAGATAGTCATCACTAAGATAACAACACTAAGATAACAACACTAAGATAACACGACTGCTGCAGGCGGGGCTGCAGGTGGGCGACATGATCCTGATGGTGAACAAGCAGGAGTTGGTGGGCGCGGACTACGAGACCGCCACCGCCGTCCTGCGGCGTGCTGAGGGCCTCATCGACATGTGGGTGGCTAACGGCGCCCGCTGCCGGGGTGAGTGGGGTGAGGGGACATGTGGGTGGCCAACGGCGCCCGCTGCCGGGGTGAGTGGGGTGAGGCCAGGGGTGAGTGAGGCGAGGGGTGAGTAGAGAGGGGAGAGTGGAGTGAGGTGAAGCGAATGTGAGGAGTGGGGAGTTAAGTGCCCAGTGCCGGGGTAAGGTGAGGGGTGAGTGGGGTGAGGTGAGGGGTGAGTGGGGTATTATTATTATTATTATTATTATTGCACGAAACATTTATCGTGGCGCCTGGTTCAAACGAACTCCGAGGTCGCGTAACACTGAAGATTAAAAGCATGCGAAAAATAATTAGACGCAAGAAATGATGGGAACGGTTAAAATGAAGGACTAGATTCATATGCTCTAGGAAATAGTTCCGTCTTCAGGCGCCGACGAAACGCCTGCAACGAAGGATCCGAAGTTACGGAAGCCGGCAGACTGTTGCAGGTTCTGACGGCGGCGACCGGGAACGTTCTGTCGCCGACAGTAGATAGACGTGTAGATGGAACGTTGTTGATGTCGAGCGCAGACGATGCTGATGATGATAGAAGACAAGGTCCGGTGTTGATGATAAGTGCAATCATCTTCTAGAAGACAGATCCGACACGCATGCTGCACGCAGACATTCCGTGAGATAAGGAGGCGCCAGACCGTGAAGACATCGGAACTTCAGAACAGCGACCTTCAACTGCGTGCGCTGCTGCATGCGCAGCCAGTGAAGATCGCGAAATATCGGCGTCACAAAGTCGAATTTTCGCTTATTGTACACGAGTCGAGCAGCAGCGTTCATTAAGGATTGCAGTTTACTAATTAAAGTGGCCAGAAGTCAATAAAGTGTGGCATTACCATAGTCCAATCTGGTCAGAACGAGTGCCAGCACATTTGCCTCGAGTTCCAGCCTCAAAAGACCGCGAGGGCTGATGCTGCATATTCGTCGCAGAGCGCCAAAGCAAGCGGTGGTGGCTTTGGCAATGTGGCAATGTGATTGTTCATTGAAAATTCCGAGTCCAGCAGAATGCTCAGGTTGCGAACTGCGGACGCAGACATGACGAACTCGTTGCCTACGCGAACAGGGCCTATATTTTCAAAAAAAAGTTAAGAGGTCGTAATTCAGTTCATCACCCAATTTTGACGGCCTTCCAAGCAAAATCCACCAATCATAGACAAGAAAATAATGCTCAGGTACTTACGTTCACTTACCGAATTTGGAAAGTATGGCCCCTGGCAGGATTGGCTGGAAGCTGATGCTGGCACCGAGCAGTCGCAAACCAAATCTATAAGGTTTTTGATGCATTGAGCTGGAGCGCATCCAGTCTGAGACATTGTCCATGCAGACAGACAAACGATCCGGCAACACTGCGGCGTCAGCTGGTGCACCGTAGCCATAAATTGAATTTTGGTATCGTCGGCGAACATATGCGGATTTAAACTAGGTGAATCAATTATATGCATCATTATATAACAAGGAGAGGATCGGACCGAGAACATTTACCGATCCCTGTGGTACTCCGCTTAAGTAACCAACGATGGAGTAGCATTAGAATCTATTGGAGTCTCAAACGCATTGGACTCCATTGCTGAGTAGGGGGATGGGGTAAGGCGTATGTGAGGGGTAAGGGTTGAATGCTCGCTGCCTGGGTGGGCGAGGGGTGAGTAGAGTGAGTGGGATGAAGGGGGCATGGGTGAGAGGGGGCTGAGTGCCCGGGGGGTATGGAGAAGAAATGGCGAGTGCCCGGGGGGTATTGGGGGATGGGGTGAGCGCCCGTAGCCCCGCTGCGGGGTGATTGCATCCCCGCGGTTGTCATCTTTGTTGTCCCCGCAGATGAGCTGCCCGTGAGTGGGGGGACGCCCGCCCCCCCTAGCGCCCCCCGCACCCCCGCCAAGAAGGAGAAGCCAGGTACACGATCATGAAATAGTGATGAGTTATGGTGATGTTAATATATAATATATATAACATAATAGTTATAATGATGGGTTATAGTGATGTTAATATATAATATATATAATATAATAGTTATAATGAAGGTGTCATCATATTTCTGATGACATTTTTTTAATACTCGCCATTTTCAATACAATTTTGTTTTTATTATTCTCATATAAAAAATTAGCTTTGATGTTGTCAATGTTATGATGCACGACATGTTCACATGTCCCTCCTCTCCCCCCATGCCCCCTCATGTCTGGACCACATGGTGAGTATATATATACTCACCATCATATTTATATTCGTGCTTAGCAATATAATTATGATGAATGTAGCCGCCGCCCGTGAGTTATATATATAACCTATAATTTTATATATAAATTAATATATAAATATAAATAAAATGCAATATATGCATATATATGAATATTATGTGCAATATATAATTTATATGCAATTAGGTATATACTTATTATGTTGCTCTGTTTGATGTAATTATGATATAATAATTTATATATACCGTATACTAATTTATTTTATATAATTTTTATACGAATTTGTTCTATAAACAAATTGTACGCATTTATTCCATGTAATTATTATTTAAATTTATATACTTATCATGTATCCAATTTTATTAGTTATTAACAAACAAATTATTATTTGTTATACATATCGCGCACATTTTTATTAAAAAATATAATTTATTTTTGATGATTATTATTCGACTTGTTCTAGAAACATATATTATACGCATTACGCATTCATTTCATATACTTATTATACAAATTTTATATTTATCATGTATACACATTTATTCATTATTATTATTACAGAAATTAAAAATATTTATTTATTTATAGGGAAGATTATTAACTAATGAAATGATCCCCCAGAACCCCGCGACTGCCCCCATCAAGCCTGGGGAGGAAACAACCATCGAGATCCCCAAGGAGAAGATGGGGCTGGGGCTCTCCATCGTGGGGGGCAGCGACACCCTGCTGGTGGGTGGGGGGGGGAATATGGCCGCTGAATATACTGGTCGTTTTCTCTTTATAGTAATTCTTAGTGAATAAAATTACTATTTTAATATACATGTCGTGGGTATTTTCCTCTAAGTTACCGTTAGTTACCCGAGATACTTATTATAGGTATTAGCAACATTTAATCTATTACCATGCAGTCAATAACCTATGCTGAATTACCCGGTATTTACTGTTACTTTCAACAAACTTTCTTCCTTTCTTTCTCTTGGCGGCCATTCCTGCATTGCAGAAAGTGAGTAATCTTGACACGGTTTTAATACACCAGTTTGCTTTTATAATACATAAAATATAATAAAAGAATAACTCAAAAATAAGTCAGTAATAATTCAAAAAAAATAATTCACGTAAAAATATTAATTCACGTAAATATTAATTAAAAATATTAAGTGTTTTAAATTAACATTTGTGTGTTCAACTGTCATACTTGTTGTTGAATTTACATTCGCTTTGTTAATAATTATAGAGTTTGATTTTGTATGGTTTGATTTTCGACTACCGCATGACTCATTACGAGTGAGTAACCGAGTAATCAATGCCGGTATTCTAATGTGTTACCGGTAACACTGTTGTGTAGTGATGTATATTCTGTGTTGCTGCTCCAGTAACTTCCGGTGTTGCTGCTCTAGCAACTTCCGGTGTTGCTGAAACTTCCGGTTTTGCTGTTCCAGCAACTTCCGGTGTTGCTGTTCCAGCAACTTCCGGTGTTGCTGTTCCAGCAACTTCCGGTGTTGCTGCTCTAGCAACTTCCGGTGTTGCTGCTCTAGCAACTTCCGGTTTTGCTGTTCCAGCAACTTCCGGTTTTACTGCTCTAGCAACTTCCGGTGTTGCTGTTCCAGCAACTTCCGGTTTTGCTGCTCTAGCAACTTCCGGTGTTGCTGCTCTATCTAGAAACTTCCGGTGTTGCTGCTCTATCTAGCAACTTCCGGTGTTGCTGCTCTAGAAACTTCCGGTGTTGCTGCTCTAGTAACTTCCGGTGTTGCTGCTCTAGTAACTTCCGGTGTTGCTGCTCTAGTAACTTCCGGTGTTGCTGCTCTACAATCAGAGAAATGAGTTAGGCTTTGTCCAAATAGCCATGCACTTTTTACTCTTGTGTGGGTACCCTGACCCATGTTGGCCCGTAGAACAGCGTATCAGTGCTGTGCACAGCACGTCCGCTCGTGCTGTGTGTGTGTCGATATTTGAACAATACGATTCATTTATTTTTTTGAGTGCAGTTAGTGACCAATTTTTAACCCATTACCAGACTATTTTACATTTATTAAATTTTTATCATATACATTTATTTACCTTTATTATTAACCCCCAATTAACCCGCAGGGGGCCATTCTGATCCACGAAGTTTACCCTGACGGGGCCGCGGCCCAAGATGGCCGCCTGAGGCCCGGGGACCAAATCCTGGAGGTGTCGGGCCAGAACTTCCGGGCCATCACCCACCAGCGGGCCCTGAGTGTGCTGCGCCAGACCCCGGCCAAGGTGGGTCTAGTTTATTTATTAATTAGTTATTTACTATTTATTCCATAATTTATCAACTCTAACTTCTTATTAGTTTTAATACTTTTAAAATATATAAATATTTTTTTCGGCTGTTTAATTTATTAATTTTAATAACGATACTTATTTTTTGACAACTTCATTTTAAATTCATGTAATTCTACTCTATTTGTACTTCATTAGAATTTTAACTTCCTAATCTATTTTTACGCCACTTTTTTATTCTGTCGCCGCAGGGAGTGAAGGTAAAATGCGCTTTTTATTTCAGACAAAACAACCTCTGTAGGTTGATTTAAACTACTTCTAATCCTGTATTTACATTGATTATGTAATTTTTTTACTTTGACTGTATAATTAGATATAATTTTCTAGAAAATTACAATATTAATTTATAAATTTTCCTATTAGATCAAATTTGCGTTACTAGAAACTAGCGACTCTTGGTGTACGTAGCTAGAAGTGCCGGTACACATAGAAATGCTCAGTATTTACAGTGAAGAATAGCAAGCAATATTTTTTCTATAGTAAAATAATGCTATTTCCTCTGTGGTATGTCGTTTTAGGGTTCACCATTAAACTGACATTGTACTTACGATATAAATTATATACTAGTGACTATAATAATATCATTTTACTCGTTATTACAATAACATTGTAGTGACCACAATAACCTAGTTCCCTATACTAGCTCCATGACCGCCATGTTCACTAGATATAATAGGTGTGCGGGCCGATTGCTATTTTCTAGGAAAACTAGCGCGTTTCTAGCGCTAGTTTTCATTAGTTAGAGTATCAGAGCTAAACTAGTGAAGCTAGTTTGGGGGTTAGTTGCTTCTCCCATCCCCCCACTGGTCCCCCCTGTTACATATATGCTCATTATATTTACTCCAAATATACTATTGTCACATATAACACATATGTGTGCGTTATACGTGCATTATAATAATATTTAGCATTTTATATAACTTAACAAACAATATCTCCCTCAGGTTCAGATGATAATATTTACCACATATTATGTAAATCAAGAAATATTATATAATTTCTATAATAAATCTAATAACTAATTATATGGCCCTCAGGTGCAGATGGTGGTGTACCGTGAGGAGGGGGCGGGAGGGGCCCGTGAGGAGGAGCTGTATGAGGTGATCAGCGTGCACCTCACCAAGAAGCAGGGCAAGGGCCTCGGCCTCTCCATCGTGGGGCGCAAGAACGGCCCTGGCGTCTTCATCTCAGACCTGGTCAGACACTCATCATAATTAATGCCTCATATTGTCCGAATATTGACGCACTTTCTTTTGCTCACAACACGAACAGGTAGCGGACGTATCACTGATACTGTGACCAGGTGGCGTCATTCCGTTGCCCTGGCAACGTTGACCAGTTGACTCAATCTCTTAGCCGGCCACAGCCTAACTAGAGTTACGAATGGCCGTCACACTTCCAATATAACGGCCCGCTGGCTTGCAACTAACCCTAGGTTTAGGTGCTATACACGGGCGAGTAGTAGCGTCGACTGCCAATAGGTATTTATGACGATTAGTGTCTTCAGAGGTGACTAGCTGGTGCATTGCACCCAAAGCACTTCAAGTTGTTCCTACCTAGTCTAGTGTGTCCAGTACCGCCCTAGCCACTGTAGCGCGCACAGCTTTACAGCTCTCGCTTGCCTCCACCGTGCACACCCTCACTCGACAACTCCAAACGTCGCACTGACGCGGGCGCAGTGAAACACTATACTCGTGTGTAGGCTCTCAGCACGCAAAACTGTAGTCGACGCAATTAATCGACGCGACTATAAGGACCTACTGCGCCTCCTGCCTTATATACTCGTGTATACATCTGGCTGGCAACCCTCGTCAGTTGCCAGCTCCCGCCAGACTCCTAAATATAACCTCAGCTACAACCAGAATCACTTTAGTCACAACCGAGCAAGGAGGTATGTAACTCCGGAGGAGGTATGTTGCTCACACCACGCAGCGTTACATAGTACATACCATACCTATTCAAGGAGACTAGACGAAGCTATGCAGGAGCATATGTTCAGTCTTAAAATGCCTAGCAAGTTACGGTCCAGGCAATAAGTCCAGCAGCTATCTCAATCAATCATCAGCTATGGAAAGATCGGGTTCCAAAGGCCGGATCCCTTGTGAATCAAGTCAAGAAAAGTTCAAGAATCGGCAACAGGCCATGGGCCTATTTTTTCAGTGCCGACACTTCTATTCTATTCTAACACATCACTCCCGGCAGGTGGAGGGGGGCGTGGCGGCGGGGGACGGTCGCCTGATGCAGGGGGACCAGATCCTCGAGGTGAACGAGACAGACGTGCGGCAGGCGACGCAGGAGCAGGCGGCCGCCGTCCTCAAGTGCGCCCCCAGCAACGTGCACATCCGCCTGGGCCGCCTGCGCCCCGCCAGACGAGGCCCTAAGGACGCGTGAGTGCGGGGCGTAAAGGCCCCGATGGGGGTGAGGGGCGGTCCAAAGGGGGGGAGTGAGCGCTAGGCGAGGGGGGCCAATCATCTGAACCACCCCCACAATCACCCCCTTAATCACCCAATCTCACAATCACCCAATCTCACAATCACCCAATCTCATAATCACCCAATCTCATAATCACACAATCTCACAATCACCCAATCTCATAATCACCCAATCTCACAATCACCCAATCTCATAATCACCCAATCTCACAATCACCCAATCTCACAATCACCCAATCTCA